ATACTAACTATTCTACTCCTACCTCTTGCATTTATCAAATGTTACAATACTATTTTCGAATTTGATAAAAATATCTTGATCACCAACTCCCAATAAAAAATTTATTCATTAAAAAATTTTTGCTTTTTATTTTTAAAAAGGGTATACTTTTGAATGAATTATTTGTCTTATCCAATATAATTTGTTTCTGGTCTAGACCAGTGGAACCTTCGTAAGTATATTAAAAGTTACCTAGTTACAGCGTTTTTAAATAGAGATGACACCTGGTCAAATTCAATGTTTTTTCTAAAACATAATTATACAAAACGATGATTTTATACGGATTGTGTAACTCATACAAAAATTATTATGAAATTATCAGAGTATCTAACTAATTAACGTCAATTGGACTCATATTTCTAAAAAACAATAAGTTTCAAACGAAATGGAATTTTCATTATTTTAGATTTTTTTGGGTTTATTTATTGCACATCTTTGAATACATTTCATTACACATCTTTGAATACTGCTTTGCCGACTAATGGTAGGTATCGAACGGCCGGGCCGCCGTACGAGAGCAGTTCCCGAGCTGGTTCGAAGTAAGATACGATCCAGTACAGCAGCACGAGGTAGAAGAATAAGGATACCAAGCGGTCCAGGATGTACAATCTGGAAAGATAGCAGTTATATTATTTATACGTCGCAGCCACACAATTTAAATAGACCTATAATTAACGGTCTGAATGACTAGCCATTTGATTGAATGACTGAATTTCTCGCTCTAGTTTCAGGCTGAAGGGCTTATTAAAGGTAAGTTGCTACCAGAATTGTAGGTTTGGTTATAAAACGATAAAATAGACATCCCTCAGCACGAGTACAACTCACTTGGGTTGGTTTAATAAGTGTGGCAGAGCCATGCTTCGGCACGAATGGGCGGTCACGGCCTCACAGAGGACTGACGTGTAGCCACGCTTGCGTTGTGTTTCGACATGTAAATGAGGGAGGCCTAATTACCCCTTCCCCCCGTTCCCCGATTCCTTAATCCCCAACAATCCTCAAATTCCCAAAAGGCCGGTAATGCACTTGTAACGCCTCTGTTGTTTCGGGTGTCCATGGTCGACGCCAGTCAGGTGATGCGTCTGCTCGTTTACCGGCTTATTCCATAAAAACAATGTTTCCTACATGAAATACGATAAATTTTCATGTGCTCCTTTGTAAAACATCCCCGTAACATTAATCGCTGATTGGTTGGGTAAGTGGGAGTGAAATGTGAAATGTAATGGGTCACTTATATAGTCTCAAATACCTATTTTTGACGCCTAATTACTAAATTACGAGGATAGCTTAATGATAACTTCTTGTACTAGTCTCTTTATTCAAGCTGCTGAAGATGATGATGAGCTTCACGCAAAAACACGTATACTTACATTTGGTTCTGCAATCTGGCTTTTGGCAAGTTCTCCAGTTTTTCTTTCAAGCAGTACAGCTTGCCTCCAATCATGCAGCTCTCTATGTAGGGTTCATCCTCTATAATGGTCGTATCCATTGGGAACGTCTCCTTGTCAACAGGGTTCAGTATATTAACCAAAGACTTGAAGTTGTTTGTATCGAACCACCATTCCCGAGTCGTGAAATATTGGAGAACTTCCAAACCGATAGAGATCCTATTCTGAATTCGAACCATGCTGGAAGGAGATAGATACATTTTAATGTTAACGTTATTACTTCGGACGTCAGTAAAAGCCTTCTCATCAAAAAATCCATCAGTACATTCGATGTTCAACAAAAAACGTGTTTGCTCTTTACAGTAATAACATAAGTTATGCCCCTTTTCGCTTAAATTAAAATTATTCAAAGGGTCTCTGCAGGTTTCGGACACTCTACGCCTTTTAAAGATTCGTGACCTTATGGTCCTGTAAATAGAAGCTTACGCCACTGACAGACTTGTGGACATAATATTGACAGTATACCTCTACTTCTTCCTGATTCTTCAATGGCTACAATAGTAAAGTTAGACAAGCGCAGCACAGCATAACAAAAAAACTCATAATAAAATACTCACAATCGCTTCTGTCTGAACAAAAACATGAGGAAGTCAATGAAGTAGGCAGGTATAATGTGATAGAAGAAGACACACATGTCATGTATAAATTTGTTGTGTCTAATGTTCCCGTCGGGGTACCATAGAGGACCTTCGAATGGGAACTTGCGAACAGTAGCCTTGCCAATGTCCAGGACTTGCTTCCACGTCGTGTTGCGGTCGTCTCCAGTCGTTAGGTTGTATACTGGAATTTCTGGGTGCCTATAAAAGTCAGAGTTGTTATCATCATCAACAGCCTGTATGAGTCCATCCACTGGACCATGAAGAAACTCTTCTACACAAGCAAGATTTGCTATGATCAAATGGGTTGGAAATAGTAGTTTAAGGGTCGTAGTTTCAATCATCAGTTAATTCTTAACTGTATAATAGATTTGACATTTGATAGTTTTTAGTATGGAAGAATTGTCAAATATTGAAAGTTGTTTGTCAATTAAAATTTATCTGAACATTGGAATTGGAATCGGTCCTAAGAGGTTTATTTCATCTGAGAACGCTCCGGCTCGGTCTCTGTGACTGTCTGTCTACCCTTAGTGAACTGTTCTCTTCTTCTCTTTATATCTTTATAACACTTCTCTTTATAAGTAGGTACTTTATGAACTTTGTAAGCAATCAAGTTAACAATTAAAGTAAACTAGAGGTTGGTGTTTAACACCTAGATATTTGACTAATTTGCGAGGAAAGAACAACTAAAACTCAGACGTCAAAGCCTCGTTTAAGTATCTAAGGTATATTTATATCGATATCCAGATTTCGAATGTAAGAACAAAATTAAATAACTAACTAAAAAATCTGTTGAACAAAATCAGTTCAAATCATACACAGTTATGGTAGGTAATTAAAGTCATACCTCTGAGTATCCTTGCCAGTTTTGTAGGCGATGACAATGATGCTGTTGATGGCTATGTCAACAGGAATGACCTCCGCATGGTAGTGTCCATAGCAATGCATGGACCTGATGACGCCTTTACCAGCGCCCACCATGAGGCCAATTGGACCATTCAGGTTGTCCACCCAGCCTGGAATAGGCTCCTTGTACGATGGAGTTACTAGAAAAATGATTTAGAAATAAGGGTTAAGTTAGTCAGTAGTTATAGTAGGTTAATAGATCTAAATGGAAAAATACTGAACAATGTGTTGCTGTAAACAGAAAACAAAACATAAAACAAATATCAAGCGGATTACACATAAACATTTTTTTTTTTAAGTTTTATAATTATAATAGTTAGAATAAAGCTTTACATAGAGAGGAGTGGAAGGAGGGTAGGGAGGCCTTTGCCCTGCAGTGGGACGATCATGGCTGAAAATAAAAATAAAAAAAATAAATAAGAATATATTTAAGGTACTACGTTTGGACGATCAAAAAGCTTTACATAGAGAGGAGTGGAAGGAGGGTAGGGAGGCCTTTGCCCTGCAGTGGGACGATCATGGCTGAAAATAAAAATAAAAAAAATAAATAAGAATATATTTAAGGTACTACGTTTGGACGTAGTTCTTAGGGTCGTTACATACCTATGCTAGGTCGAACAACAACAGTAGGCAAACTCGGGTAGCTCTCTCGGACCAGAGCTTCAGCCAATCTCTTGGAGTACGTATAGGAGTTCGGATGCTTTTGGTAAATGGAAGGTGCTAGAAGGTTCAGCTGTTCCTCCGTCAGCCAGCCAGCTGCGCGAAGCACCTCGTGCGGATCCGCTGGGGGATCGAACACCTGGAAAAATAATGCAAATATTGGACCTACGGATATGTCGTGGCTGCATTTTCGAATACATGGTCAAGTTATCGATAATATTTCAAAGATACAGGAAAAAATCGTAGTGTAGTATCCTAATCTTAGTATAGTTTTACCTTTTCGGCCATTCTCTCATAATCTGGATAACAGAAGGCAGTAGATAAGTGTATGAAAGCGACGAGGCTTTTCATCTTCTTGGCCATCTCCAGGACTCGCAGGGTGCCATTTGTGTTCATCTCTAAACCCTCCTTCAGAGGCGCTTCTAGACGCAGGCTGGCCGCAAAATGGAATACTATTGACACCTAAAAACAAACTGAATAATTTAAGTGCACGTTCAAGATAAATATTATGTACTAACTTCTAAAAGACAGACTAAAATTTTACTAATTTTTGGCATCAATATCGATTCCTAATTGCCCCCTGATACTTACTTTTTTTTAAGGGGAGAAAATGATCGAATGACTGCTTCCGCCTGGGTGAGGCGGGACGGGAGGGAGTGTCAGACTCTTAACTGACTAAAAACCGCCCCGGTAACCCGTTAGATCCTCCGCGACTCCGTATCTGATACTTATTTTGGAAATTTATTTCATGTACAGAATTGGCTTCTCTACAGTTTTACTACATGTATAGTTATAGATTATCTGTAGTTATCTATTCTATGATATTATAATAGGTACATTAAAATAAACTTAAAATGTTGTACTCCTTTTTGTGACAAAAACGAAGACTAAATGAAAGTTTTATACAAAATGGATGGATCGGCAATCGTTTATCGTGCTTCAGTAAAATGAAATGAGTTAATTTTGTTACGTCAGGTTACATCACAAAGTCTATATAGAAGAATTCTTCTGCATGTATTCGTGTTAGCGTTTTTGTAACTTAACAATAGCAGAGCTGGAAGGTCGTCAACGATTTCAATGTAACTTATAATTGAGTACCTGAATTTTTCATAAAAACTGATTAAATTATTATAAGGAAATACAAAGTTAACTAGTATTTGAGTTGAGTAACTCACCTGGAGTCTAGAGGTTTTAAATACTTTTAATTCTTTCTTAAACATGATTGACGAGACAAGTCATGCTTACGAGAATTATGAATAACGAAATTTATTGGAAACGAAAGTGATTGAAAATAATCCGCATAATAGAGTTGTAATTCATGAATTTATTAAAAAATGTGTCTGACATGTTACGTTAGAAGTGTTAATTAATTCATATTTTGATATACGAGAATTTCTAAAACGTTATACCTACCAAAAGAATTATGTTGTTGTAG